AAATGAGGACTTTTGTCCCCATCACTTACAATAGCAACACCTTAGGAACGAATCACTTAAAGGTTCAGTGTGTAATATTTAGGAGGATCTATATATACAGAAATGCAATATAATTCACATAACTATGTTTTCAGTGGTGTATAAAGACCTTACATAATGAACTGTTATGTTTTTATTACCTTAGAATGAGACATTTCTATCTACATGCACTGCAGGTCCTCTTACATGGAAGTCGCCATGTTGCGCTGTCATGTTTCTACAGTGGCCCCAAACGGACAAACTGCTATACAGAGTGCGTTTCATCACTTTGTTGAATACGTATGAAAAACAAGCAGCAGCAGCAGCAGTCCAATACCGATTTCGATATTTGAGGATTTTAAAATCCGATACGATATTCTTTTTTCCCCTTATTTTAAGAAACGCATAACATAAACAACAATTATCCCTAACATTTGTTATGTTGAGACCATACCAAGATACATGACATAATGCAGTATAAATAGAAACTTTTTTATTGTTATAAATAGTACTTTGAACAAAGGTACAGCAAAATATTTTAAAGTTTTGAGTCAAATGTATAAAACTACAAACAACATTTAAAAAATATCTAATTTATACATTATAGAGTACTACTACTAACGAACAATAAATTAAGTAGTGCATGCTCCCCCTGGCTCCCCCGTAGTTCACAGCCTGGCCGTAGCCTCGAGAAAAAACCCTTGATAAACACACTCGGGTATTTTGTTAGATCTTAGATCTTTTGTTTTTTCCGATTTGGTTTTGAAACGAAAGAATGAAAGAATGAACCATACATGGATTTAAATGAAACCTTGTTAGGATTTTTTTTTCTAAAACTATTTCTACATGTATTTCTATATTTTATTGAGGTCACTTTAAGAAACAAGAAAGTACATCATGTGACTAGTGTTCAGGAAGTAACTTAGCATGGACAGACAGTGGTTGTTTTAAGATACATCTGAGCCAATCCAGCGACATCTGCTTTTGGCAGCATCGTGGGTATGGATTGATTGTTTAGTGTTATCTACAACCTCAGAGTTTATTATCTTGGGACAATTTTATGTTTGTGAAGATTTGTTCAGTCTGCAATTGCTAATGACTACAATTTTCTTAAGTCATATTGGAAGTTCATAGAAGGACAATTACAAATGAATGAACAGAAAGCTGCAAACACCACGGAAGATTCATACCAAGTGAAGACAGATAACAGATTAAAAGTGCATCACTGTCGGTTTTATATTTGATTTGTTTTATGATTCACTGTCTAGTTACATCATTTAACGTCATTTCGTCATTTCCATTCAGTCACATGTGGCTGATCATTCCTGAGTGAGTGAGTCCTGGAGTGACAGTAAAACATAGTAAACAAGTGATTCGCACTAAACAAGTCACTAAACTGCACTAAAGACTCAAACAAAGGAAAATAACGCATATACATCCAGCCCATCTCACGACTGAATCTGATGAAGTGAGAAAAATCAGCTGATGAAATGTATGAATGAAAGTGCTGCTGCACTAAAAATAAATAAAAAGCATTTGATTCATCTGATGGAATCCTTCCTCTGAAACATTTAGCCTAATAAATCAAAATACTCCATGATCATACTCTGGATTATTTAATAGGCCTAATTAATAGGTTACACAATCATAAAATCAATAAATACTGATGCAGATAAGCAATAAATAATATAAAAGCATTCTGCAAGTAGAAGTGATCCTGTGTATCTGAACAGGAAACAGTGTAACAACACGTTCTCATCTCATGGCATCAAATAGGCCAACTAGGCTTTCAGAAAGACTGGCAAAGCGTCCGTAGCCTATTTGACGCCATGGGATGAGAACGGGCTCAGTATAAATACAGAATGCAGATTGTTCTTCATCTGCAGGTGTTAAACAGGTAACAGCTCAAGACAGAAAACGTGCTGCTCTGCGGTGAGAACTGTGACACACAGTGCAGACAATGTGTGCAGAAATAACTGCATCAAAAGTCTCTCCAGCTGTTAAAGCCGACTGACAGCTGACAGTTGACATATTTCCTACTTCCTTATCTCCTCGCATGGTTTCCTTGCGTCTCTCCATGCATCCCCGGAAGATGCAAGGAAAAGACGCAAGTGAGGGAAACGGGGATGCAATTAAGAGAATTGAGAAGCACCTCAAGTGTCTTCAGAGTCTTGTTGTTAGAAAGAGTTTAGCTGAATGTCAAACTATATACAACACATATACTGAGGACAGTTTTCCCTCCATAAAGCTTTATTTCAGCAACAATATTCAGGGAGGCTGTTGTGTTTAAACGATGCTCATTTGGTACTAAGGGGCACAAAGTGTGCCAAGAACACATCCCCCACACCATTACACCACCACCGCCAGCCTGAACCGTTGATACCGGTGTGGTCTTCTGCTGCTGTAGGCCATCTGCTTCAAGGTTGGACGTGTTGTGCGTTCAGAGATGGTATTCTGCAGACCTTGGTTGTAACGAGTGGTTATTTGAGTTACTGTTGCCTTTCTGTCATCTGGAACCAGTCTGCCCATTCTGCTCTGACCTCTGACATCGACAAGGCCTTTTCATCCACACAACTGACGCTCAATGGATATTTTCCCTTTTTCGTACCATTCTCTGTAAACCCTAGACATGGTCGTGTGTGAAAATCCCAGTAGATCAGCAGTTTCTGAAATACTCAGACCAGCCCGTCTGGCACCAACAACCATGCCACGTTCAAAGTCACTTAAATCCCCTTTTCTTCCCCATTCTGATGCTCGGTTTGAACTTCTGCAAGTTGTGTTATTACTTCAGCAAGTTGTCTTGACAACGTCTACATGACTATGCATTGAGTTTCTGCCATGTTATTGGCTGATTAGCTATTTGTGTTAAGCAATTAAACAGGTGTACCTAATAAAGTGTCCGGTGAGAGTGTATATATGGAGCGTCTTAAAATATGAATCAGGATAGTGATAGTGATAGTGCTAGGTTCAGGCTCTGCTTTTTCTATGCCATTTCACCAGACAGAAACAAGAATTAAAACACACTCACCAACAGCTGTTGTTCAGTGTGACAAAGGGAAGCTTGTTTGCTGATCTTATTTGAGTAAACTCAAAGGTTTGTGTCAGTACAGACTGTTCCTCAAATTGATTGAGTTGAGCTGAGATGGGGCAGTTTGCGGTTACATGAATTTTTGGTCTGAACTGGACTTAAGGAGCCCTAAAAGCCTGCAGCAGAAACCCCACCCACTAATCTTAATGGAATTTTGGGCCCCATGACAAAAAACTCAAATTGGACCCACTCTGCGCAGCTGTTGTCAACACATCTCTAGGGCCTAACTGTCCCATCAAAAGCTTCACATAACTCACATTAAAGACTTGCAACTTTCTTGCTTCTTGTAGTTCAGTACTAGTACTAGCACAATATTTACTGCTGGTGATTTGTACATGCAAGTCTGCATACAGTATGCAGTTCACTATTTGATGCAAGATTAAAAGCCACCATAAAAATGTCCTTATGGCAATCTTTTACAGTCTCAGTATATTTTATTGGAAAATTAAGAGAAAAAAATCTCTTAACATTAAGACCTATCTATAGATGTCATTTAACAGCCATAATTCAATCTAAATGACCGTATCAAACTGGATTATTTTAATATTGTCTGTAACTTACATGCAGGCTCAGGTAATCTACTCACTGTTTCCAACTGTCCAGCATCCAGTACAGACAGAAGGTTGTTTTTATTTTATTTCATAATGATCATTATGTGAGAAAATAATTTGTGTTTGAATTTTTGTCATTAATAAATATTTCATTTTCTTTTTTGTTATGGTAAAATAAGCAAGAGAGACAGAGAATGATGCTAACTGGCCTGTCATTAACACCATGCTGCTCACCTTCTTCACTGGGACAGTTAGGGGTACAGTTATGGGGAGACAGGGGTGCTGCTGACTCATCTGTCATTTCCCTGCACTGATTAAATGTTGATGAAATGTAGGCTAACACTAGTCTGTAGCTAGCTAGCTTATTTCACTGTGGACATTAAGCCAACAGGTTAACACCACTCACAGACTAAAGGCAGCCCACCTTTGTTGGTGAAAAACTGGGTTACAGAGTGACATCCTTTCCTTTGTCTTTTTTCTCTGTCCTTTTTTGAAAACCTGATTTTGTTTTACTAGGCGACATTGCGATCACTGTATTTCTGGCGCATCTACTAACTGCAACTAAACATGGTCACTGATACAGTGCGCAGAGGCAGGATCAAACCATTTCATGCAGATACAGGGGGTGGCCTGTCAATATGGAGGTTTACTTTTTGGTCAATGGGGATTTTTAACTTCTATTGCCAAAAACAAGTAAAAACAAAGAGATCATTAATTGTATTATTATATTTGAAATATATATATTCTCAATGATCATGGTTTATGTAATGTATAATATAATATTATTTTATATTAGTTTTTACATATTTTGGGGGGCCCCTGTCAGTCAGGAGCCCTTGGAATTGTCCAAACTTTCCCACTCTATATGGTGCCCCTGTTCACACACAGTTCAAGTGGCCTGGACAAACACTCACACAGTTTCTCTCTGGGGAGCCTTCTAAATTCCAGATGCCATCTAGTCTCAGTTTGCGGCACAGTCCCAGTCTCTGATAATCAGTCTTCCCCTCCCTGCATTTGGATGATGCTGATCATTCAAAAATCCGGCGTGAGACGTACACGCTAGCTGACTGTTGTGTATAAATCACAATGAAATGAAAAGATGAGCAGAATCTATGGTAGGTGGCTTGGTCATATCAGAGCGCAGCTTTTCTCTCCTTTGAGTTGAGATGATTTGATTTCTGTTAAGAAAACCGCAACAAGGTCCAGGTTTTAGCTCACTAAATTAACATGTGAGTGACTGCACGACCATGATGTGACTTTAAATTTATTCCCATGAACTTTGCCTGGATACTGATTCTGAACTCTGTGTGTGTGTGTGTGTGTGTGTGTGTGTGTGTTGTCAGTGTGCAGAGACTGAGCCCCAGAGTGCAGTGTTCCTGCCAGAGTTTGCCCTCTCACCTCAGGGCAGCTTCATGGAGGATGCCACAGAAGATCAGTTTCTAACCTACAGATACGACGACCAGGTCAGACACGCTCTTTACTGTTGCTGGACCAGTATGGGTTTGCAAAAGCTGATCCTAACATTTTGAACTGAAACATCATCAATTGCTGTTAATTGCTCCCATTTTCTTATGTATCATTGTTTTTGTTTTCTGGATTGTGAATCTACTTACAAAGACTGAATTGAGATTCTTATGCAAATGGAAAATTCACATTATTCACACAGGACTTGAACCAACAATGACACGAGTCAGTGGCACTGAGTTCATACTTGTGTATGACTGAGCTCACCACTGGTCTACAAGATGCTACCAAAAGTTCTGTTTTGCTTTGTTAATGGCAGTTTGTCATTGTTTTTTTTCAGGTCACTGAAACCGAACATTTTTGAAAACCCCTGCCAGGGTGAGGATTTTCAGAAACCCCGGTTGCAGTGTTGTCGTGTAGACAGTAAAAGCGGGGGTTTTCCCTTGTGACGTCAGATTGTTCGCCGTTATCCGCTGTGTTTGATGTCAGATTGTGCGCCACTGCCTGCATTGTTTACAATTTTATTAGGCTCTGATTGGCCAACGTGGCTTTACGGTTAGGGTCATATTGCAGCCAGGTGTTTTGGCATGCTCTTGACAGCGCTTGATAGCGTGTGTTTGCGTTTTCATGTGGACGGAGATTTCCTAATTACTTTTGCAGCATAGAAAATATTCATTGTTTAAATTTAGTAATTGTCTCTTCCTGACTAGTGTCCCTGTGTTTAAACACCAATCAATTGGGATTGATATCAGATTTCAATCTTGTGTTTAGACTTGAGGTGTGGAAAATAATAGATTTTTAGATGCATCGTAATGCGGACTTGGACGATTCTGAATCGATTCACAAATGTCAAAAAACTATTATCTAGAGGTAAATTGATAACGTATTGTTGACGGAATGAAAAAGGACTTGGAAATGCAGAAGTGCAGCTCTGGACCGTCTGTGGTGTGCACACAACAGAGACGTTTTCTTCCTGTTCAGTAAGGCAGGCAGCTGTTGAATAACTGCCAAAAGTTCTGATCAATAAAATCAATACGTGACAAATGTAAATGATTTTCACCCACACACTGTGCGGCACTGTAGCGCTTAGCTAGCATCCCCACCTCATCCTTAAAAGGACAGCTACTGTATGTGACCGGCGGCAGAAAGTGGCGGTGAAAGCGAGCAGAGCAGAGCAAAACATGAGCACTATGTTTCAGTCTTGCTGTAAATGTACAGTGTAGGTCACAGTGTGTCCGTTAATTAAAATATGTCTGTTGTTTTCCAAATACTAGCGCTAGCTAATGTCCCCTCTTCAGACTGCGGTCTGGAAGCTGAGCAGGACGTTTTTTGGCTGCTAGATCAAATTCATTTGTTGTCATTTATCCACATTTTGAGTATACAAATAAACAAAATGCTGTTTCTGAAGGCCCATGGTGCTCAATACAAAATTACAATAATCAACTTACAGGACAAGACACAAACATGTAACTACACCAGGATTGACAAAAAGGACCAGCTCTATTTAGGCAGCGTGAATATGGTTTGACTGAAGCATGGAAAAGAGCATAGTTCAACCAGTGTGTGAATCTAAAATAATAACAGCAACATCAGAAATGAAAATAGCAGCAACAGAGATCAGTAACAATGCTTTGTAACGTTAGCTACATATATGTGAAGTAACAATAAAAAGCTGCATTTCATTACTACCTACTTACTTGATTGTTACAAATCCTTTGCTTTAAAAGTACCAAGTAGTCACACAGTGAGAAAAATTCATCTTTATCCTATTCGTTTCACAATCGCATCGTAGTCCTTAATCCTAATGAGGTGCCTAGAAATTCCCACCCCTAGAGGTGATGCATCGAGATATTGAATCGAATTGTTGACAGGATAATCGTAATCGAATCGAATCGTGAGACAAGTGAAGATGCACCCCCCTAGTTTAGACTTTAGGTAGTGGGGAGAACCTTTTGTTTACATTTGGATTACGGATTGTCCCTTTAAGATTTAAAAGGAATATTTATATCATGTCAGATAAAAAAAAAATTTAACCTGTACAGTGTGCACACAAACACACGAACATGCAAACAAACGTGCGCATACAAATGCTGCACAGACAGACACACACACACACACACATACATGCATGCATAAGGCCCCATGTGTTTAGTACTGGTGGGAGCAGCAGATGGTGTTGCCTTAGTGCAGCAGAATGGATTAGAAGCTACAGGTTGAGTAACAGGTGGAGGACTATAGGCTCTCTGATCTACATCTTAACTACTGCAGGCTGTATGAGATGGATGTGCTTACAATGCAAGCCCCACTTTCTACTCCTCTGAAGACTTTATCCCTTAATTTGTATGGATGCTGGGAGCTGCTTCTTTAGCTCTGTGATTGGTAGGTTCTTCCCAGGTCAGATTTATATAAATGTATAACTACAGAAGATTTTTATATCATATATAAAACGCGCTTTTGAGAAAGATTAGGTGGGGTTCTAAAATTTCGGGGACTTTTTGTGCACTGATGATTACAAAATGTAAACCAATGTCAGATATGTTGCAGACGAAGAAGAAGCCAAAGAAATTCTTCTTCATGTTCTTTATTTATTCATTACCTGAAATGCGGTCACTTTTTGCACGTTCCAAGTGCACTCAGAAGCAGACAGATGCTAAGTTGCTAAATGTGTGTTGGCTTGAAGGGTCGAAGCATGTGTTCAAAATCAGCTTAACTCTGGGCACCGTGTAAAACAGTTGTACTGAACTTTGCTTGTTAGACGAACATGATCGTGGTTTATGAGTGGTGTTAACCTGTTGGCTTAATGTCCACAGTGGAACAAGTCAAACATGGAGTTTTAAATGGGACTAGAATTGTTTTGTTTAGATTTTGCAATCAGTGCAATTATTTCTGTCAATGCTCACATTCTGTAATACACACTTTAAAAACGCAAATTTATATTGTCCTCACACACATCAGCACAACTTAAGCGTTTTAAGAGAAAAACACAGTTTAAAAGGTTGATCACAAAACCTTTCATAACTGTTGGCTCAGCATGGTGGGACTTTAAGGCTTTTATTTTAAAAGTACAGTAAGTAGGTGTAGGCCCAAGAAGTAGTTTTGGTCTCATTTTGCATTCCTGTAGAGTGTACTGTGCTTTGATGAGGAGAGCGAGGACATTTTCTGCTCTCTGCTGTTTGAAAAAACTGCTTCAAAATGCAAATTGCTCTGTGAGCTTTTCTCCACTTTTTATGCAACACTAAATATTAAATTCTGTGTATGTTGTGTCAAAGGGTATTGGGTTTAGACGCACGCACGCACACACACACACACACACACACACACACACACACACACACACACACACACAATGCACCCATTCTTCTCCTTAACAGCTTTGGACACACATCCACGTAAATTAGGTTAAGTAACTTAACTTGAGAGTACATTGTGTTTTGAAAGCCTTGCAGCTGACAAATATCATACAAATGATCACTAACGAAACACAGGAACCTTGTTTGGAGAGATTCTACTTGTATGAAATGCCTAGAGTCCTCTGGCCGTCTGCAATGCTTAGGGTTGTAATTACTGTACTGCTGTGCGTAGGTGGGTCTAGGCCATATTTAGGTTTGGGCATTAGCCCACCCAAAATTATTCTATAACCCAGGTTGTTGTGTCTATTGTGCAATCTGTCCTGTTTGTTTGTTTGTTACGTTGAATCACATGACACATGACCTCTTTCATCCTGTCTACTCTGCAACCTGACAAATCTCTGACAGATCAGTGAAAATGCAGCCTACCTGCTGCTGCTTCCATGGTTAATTGAACAAAGTCCTTTTGCATCAATTCCCGCCCTTATGTGCTGTGATTGGCTAGTACTCGGTACTTCAATGTGTTCTTGTGATAGGATGCTAGGTGTGAGCGCATTTGTGCCTTTAGGATGATAGAGATCCTGGGTGTTCCCTCACCTGTGACTTATTGCATTAATTTAGTTGGTCTTTATTACAAAATAGGAAAGATCTGATTTGTTAAGTTACTACACTTCTGAGGGGCATACATTACATTTACATTTTCTTCATTTAGCTGACACTTTTATCCAAAGCGACTTACAATTGCTATACATGTCAGAGGTTGCACGCCTCTGGAGCAACTAGCTTATCCGTTGCGCCATCACCACCCCCTATTACATTAAGATAATAAGCATAGCATTTTCCCTAGAAAGAATGACCAATGCTATTTTAACAGAAATACCTAAACTTGAAACATTTTGGCTAGCAGTTCTCCTGACGTTTAAGTTATCAATACATGATTTGCTGAGAAGCAAATGTTAAATGAACAAGGGGTTAAATTGAGCTGCGTCCCCTCTGTAGATATCACGATTTAAATTCTATTTATATTTGTATTACTATTACATTATTGTCAATGTCAGTAGTGTCACTAGTGTTGCTAGCAGGACTTGTCGAAAATGCGACAGAAAAACTGGTGGAGCTGGCATGCAATCACAAGGATATGTTGTAACAAGATAGTCAGTCACAGCACAGTAGGGCTGGACTTGGGTGGGATAAAAAATAACGCTATATAACGGAAAGGAATGTTGACCGATCTGAATCTGATCGTTCATTCTCACACAAAGTTAACATTAGTTAGGTAACATATGTTTATTTTTATTTTGGGAATATGCTGATTCATAATTTGTATTGTTGTCCACATCAACGCAGTATCGGGTATTTCCGAAATCTCTATGCTAGCTTGCTATGTTGCAGCAGCACATTTTCGAGTGGCCTTTTATTGTGGCCAGCCCAAGACTCACCTGTGCAATCCCCATGCTGTCTGATCAGCATCTTGATATGCCACACCTGTGAGGTGGATGGATTATCTCGGCAAAGGAGAAGTGCTCACTAACACAGATTTTGACAGATTTGTGAACAATATTTGAGAGAAATAGGTCTTTTGATCTTTGAATTCAGCTCATGATGAATGGCGGAAAAAACAAAAGTTTTGCATTTATAGGTTTGTTAAGTAG